TGGATAACAGGATAAGCCTTTGCCAATAGATTTTCAAAAAAGTTTGTTTGGTAACACTGTTTTCTCATCCATCCACAAAGGCCAAAATCATAATATCCCTCCACAGAAATTAACTAACCAGATGAATAATCATAGAGTTGGGCCTCAATCTGGGCCAGATGGGCCATGGGCCTACTTTTTGATCCATAATTGGTGTGTGTTTGTGTTGTTGTTGTGGTTGTTGTGTACATGCACTCATTCAGTACTATCATTGCCAAACTATCATTGCCAAACAGAGGGAATGGTGAAATGAGTTGTTTAGAGATGGGAGTTGAGTGAGCCCAGAATAGAAAAAGAAGCAAATTGTGGGAATAAGGCCTCTCATTGAGACTCTTTGTGAAAGAGATGTGCAAAATATGAAGTTTAGGACCAGAACACAGTGTTGTGATAAGTCAGATATTAAGTGTTAAGCTAACAACTCTCTGCAAAATGATTCAGACTTCAGAGCAAAAACAACAGTTAGTTAAATGAAATGCAAGGAGAAGACTGGTTGTCCGTACCGTCGCCGTCTTGACTTTGACGTGGCACGTGTTGGTTGCGATGTCAATGTCAGCAGCCAAAGAGCTTTCTTCTAACTAGCGTCTTGGACTCTTGAGGTTTCGAAGGGATGATTTTTCAGTTGAAGGAGACATGTCTTGGAAGTGGAGGTTGTTATTTGAGGGAAGCGCCCCCTTTTCCTTTTTGCTTCAGTTGTGATGCCATCTGCTCGTTCTCGAGCTTCATCCTCTCGTTTTCTAACTTCAACTTTTCTAACTCTCGGTCCCTTTTCTTGTTGAATCTTTCCCATTTGAAACGTTGTTTCTCCAATTCCAACCTATCCGTTTGGATTTGAAGCCTTTTCTCCTCTAACTGAAGCGAACGGGACTCGATCCACAGCTTTTGTAACTGAAAAATTCTACGGGTTTCAGGTAGAACATGGTTCGTTCCAACTCGAACGGCTTCTGCTTGACAATGAGAACGGTTGTTGTAGTCATTAGAAGTCAAGGAATGCATTAAGTTTCCTTCTTCATACCCAAGGCCTTGTCTCACCCGCTTCATGCAGCCCCCAGTAGTCCCAGACAGACCCCTATTATTCTCGTGCGAAGCACGATTCTCCTCAAAATCACCACGAGCATCAGTTTCCATGTCACATTCATCCTCATCAAAATCTTCATGTCCGAGCTTCCTCAGATCATCATTCTCACAATCAATTCTATTTCTAAGAACCAACTGTAAAGAATGTAGCAATTCCGGATCATGAGGCAAATGTAGTCTATTGCCATTGTGATAAGAACACATCTCCTGATAGAACAGATGCTTCGAGCTTAGAATCTTCCTAACTTCGTCCTTTTCCTTTGCGGTTAGATAATCTATCCCGTCCAAAAGCGCAGGGTTGTCCACAACTTGGCAAGAGGTGCCCCTACCAAGCATATCATTCAGTCTTTTATACCTTTTATTGAGGTCATTAAACTTATCCTCGCATTGCTGGGGTGAAACATGATAGCCCCGCTCGGCCATTATCTTCGAAACTGATTTCCACTTGCCCTTTTTCTGTAGAACTGCAAGTCTCCTTCTACCTAAGCCTCCACACCCTGAGGCAGAATCATCTCCCATATAAGAAATAACAGTAATCAAGAGCTTCACCATCTTATCCGTCCACTTCACCCGCTGCCATGGCAATGCATTCTTCCCTGCACCATCAATCCCCTCTTCGCTAAAACTTGGCTCGTCTTCATCACTCACCGAATTCTTGATGTCCCCTTTACCACAATCCACAAGTCTAGCCCGGTGATTGCAATGTTGCGAGCTTCCCATTGTCAATGGAGAGCTACCACGAACCAAGGACCGAACTGAAGATCGCTGGTGACTACGATTATGATTTTCCTGGCATAAGTTGAGGGAGTATTGTCCTTGGTGATGAACCCCCATAGATCCTTGCAAATCGACACCTCCATACGAAACCCCACCTGGAATCATCCCTCTTTTCGTTAAATTGGATTCCATCACCCTTCACATCAGATACTCATCAATCCATCACCAATTTCAGAAACTCCTCCAATCCAATACTTCTTACTCTAGTTTATCATTCATACCCTGTTTGGATTGAAATGAAGCACTATAGTTCTTATTTTTCCCCTAATAATGAGTTGCAGATTCATTTAAGCATTCAATCAAACACATTCAGTACTCTAATATAAACCCTCAACCAACCAACCCAGTTCATTCCCCCAAGAACAACATCAATCCACACAGAAAAATCCATCCCCTAAATCCCAATATCGAGCAAAAGATTCCAAACATTCCACAAGTTCCACAAACGCATTGTGAATCAAATCTAAACTCAAAACAATAGAGAAATCAAGCGAACCCAATTCCGTATCCCGCACTGAAACACATCAGAAATCAAAAGGAAATGTCATTAGGGTACCCATTACCTGAAATGAGATGAAGAAGAAGAAGAGCTCGAACAGTAAAAAAGCAGCTCCACTGATAGAGAATCAAAACAGAAGAACCCAAAATCAGGAAACAGAAGAAATGAAGAACTGTGAGCAAATTCAATGAAGGGAATATTTTAATGGGCTCGTTCGCCAACGAAAACGCGGGGGGAAGAAAGAGAGAGCTTAATAGTAATGGGGAAAATTATTATCATAATGTGAGACTAATGTCCATATTTGGATTCGGCCAAATTATTGGAGTTCACTGTGATTTTTTAGTAATAACTACAAGTAGGTAGTTCATGAGAATTTTTCTTTCTTTCTTAATTACTTCTTTTTTATTGTTATCATTGACTACGGTATAAAATATTGTTCAAAACCTAGTAAAATTTATTGTCCTATCAAAATTTTTTTAACAAAAGTTTGGACCTTTTGTTCAATTTTGGGGTTTTCTGTTTCGCCTTTCCATATACAGTGTAGTTGTATTATTATCGAATCTTCTATACCATTTAGAGTCAATAAATATTCGTGGAAAGATAGCACGTCATTTGTCAAAGAACTAATTCCACTAATTTGGCTTATTTGTTAAAGATATATACGAGAGCGAGTATAGCAAAACTTGGTTCCTGACACATTTTTTATTTAAATGACTTTTGTATTTTCAACTAGGATTGCACTGTCTCTAAGTTAGCCCTTAACCTTAAGGTTACTCATGGTGTTATTCTTCTACAGTTGGAGGGAAAAATACAACATTTCATGTGGATCAATCAAGTAAGTCAATAAGGTCTAAGCTATCTAAATGGCCTAAGGGAGAAGATCGAGCTCCCGATGAAACCAAAATACTTTACAAACCAGAAAAGTAAATCCACTCCCAACAGTCTAACAAACCAACGGGAGCACCGCCCAAGTACTCTCCAACCGACCTGAGGACTTGGATCGGCTGAGGCGGTTCCAACGGCCTAGTTCCCCCCTCCTCCCATACTGCCTATAAAAGGAACATTCCTCCACTCATCCAGGTATGTAATTCTACTCCGAAATTGATCTACATGAGCTCGTGTTCTACTAACTTGAGTGTCAAAGTGTTTGTTCTCTTTTTGTCAGCACATCTAGCTACCATGTGATCGACTTCGGCAGCTCGATAAAATCCTACATCAACATACATAATTTTATTTGTCACGGGGCTTGCAACTTAACAATCTATATTGTATTATTTATTTATAGTTATAAGTATCTATAGCTTGGACTATTGGCCTGGTATATGAAGCAACTAAATAAGATCCAACTTGTAACATTAAATGAAAAAAAAAAAAAAAAGTCATACTAACGAAACAACGCTAACTAAGATGAGGCACCAAAGTTATTGATAAATACTTGTAAACTCTTCAAGTCATTATTTGGATTAGAATATCCTTGCACGTTTCTTATATACTTAGTTCAAGACTACATCTAGTAATATTTGATTTATGACCAGAAATATATACACGTAGATTTATGACTACAAATATATATTCTCACATTTTTTATTACTATTTTGAGGTTTTTCTTTCTAATTATAGTAACATTTTTGTTTTTAACATGAAAGTCTAAAGATCATTTGCAGATAGAAAGTTCTAAATAGAATGCATCTATAAAGATTTTTTATAATGAATTTTTGGTTCATATAATTTTATTTTCCTTCCCTCGTTTATTTTATGTATAACATGTAGTAAAAAATTAATTTGTTCAACAAAGTTTGCAATCAGTGTTTTATTTGTCATAGGAAAATGGTGACAAACAAAACATGATTCAAACACTTAGTAAATTTTAGTGATCATTACCTATTTTTAATGATCATTGAAATTTTGCACCCGAACAAATTAATTTTTACTACATATTATATATAAAATAGTAGTGTACTCATGAGAGGTTTTTATGAGTGAAACAACAAGAGAAGGTTAAAAGTAGCCGATAACCCTAGGTACTTTTTCTTTGTATTTCCATTAGAGGAACAATTCAGTTCATAAACTTTAGTGTTCAACGATTTGATACTTCTAAATTTGTAATGATTTATAGTCTCAAATATTGGTATGTAATGAATTTAGTTTAAGTTCAAAATTTGTAAACGTTTTGGTATCTACCATGAAAAAATTCGTCAAATAATTTAGTTCTTGTAACTTTTATACATATGTAAAAAAACGATATTACACCGTAACAAAATTTTACATAGGAGAAACCAAATCATTACAACTTAAGCGATCATTAAATTATTTTACAAATCTGAACATAGTTCAATTGGTTAGTAAATATATTCTGGACTAAAAAGGTTGGATGTTTGAATTCCTACCCTACTCCCATCTACTCCCATACGTTGAACTACACTAAAATTTAGGGACTAAATCTTTAATTCAAAGAAAATATTTAGAGCAAACGTGTTATTTAACCGTAATTATTTAATTTGTCGAAACTAATTAAGATGCAAGAAATGCATCTATTTATCCTAGTACTTCTTGGGCTCCTTTTGCATCATATTTTTCAAGCCCATTCTCTAAGCCCATTACACCATATAAAGCCTTTTTGACACTGAATAGAGCATCAAATACAATTAAAAAAAAAAAAGATATTTGATAGATCATCTATTTAGAAATCATAATTACGTAAAATGATAGAAAAGTATAGAATTTATACTTTTTCATCAAACAATCTAAAAACAATCCATGGTACCCACCGCACAAATTATTAGTATATCCATCTTAATATTAAATAATTATTAAAATTTAGAATTGGTTAATTGGGGGTCAAATCCCTTAAAATGTTCTAATAATACTTTCCAAAATTAAAAAATCTCAAAACCCAAAAACTCATCCATTTTCAAAACTTCACCCATCTTCTTCTTCGATTTTCTTTTCTTCCTCCGACAGTCTGTTCCTCTTCTCCGACCGTCCGTTCCTTTTCTCCGACCCTCTGTTCCTCTTCTTCGACCCTCTGCCTTCCTCTCTGGCCGGCTCTGCTTTTCTTTATCGCAAGAGCATTTCATCTCCGGCCGCCTTCGGAAAGAGATTTCCGTCAGTTCTTATTCTTTGGGCGTTTCTGCTTGCCTTCGTCTCCAGCCGCCTCAATTTTTCTCAGTCGCTAGAGTAATTCATCTCCAGATTGAAAGGTTTGCATTCCAACGGATGTTTTCAATTTCTAATTTGGTGTGTAATATTGTATATGTGAGGATATATAGTATAGTTATTTGATTATAATATATCTTATAACTCAACTTGTATATATGCGGGTACGCGGATATATACTATAGTGATTTTGAATGTATATATGCGGATATATAAGTGGATATAAACTAAATAAAGGTAAATTAAAATAAAATCCTACATGCAGAAATCTAAAAGTGTAAAATTAGAAAAATTTAGACATTTAAGTAAATAAGTTTCTAAAACAGCCTTCCGAAGACATTATTTAAAAAAAAAACAAAAAACAAAAAACTTTTCTTAGTCATATGAACCTTAAAATATAGGGTGAATTACAAGTTTAGCTCTAACTTTTTAGGTTTGTGTCTATTGCATCTCTGAATTTAAAAAATATATATATATCTAGATTTATCAACTTTCAATTTTATATTTAATAGGTCACTAAAGTTTAAAAAATGATGAATAAGTCTTTGAAGTTTCAATTTTGTGTCTAATAGATTCTTGTCACATTTAAAAAAAAAAAAATTTAATTCAGGAACCTATTAAACATAATAATATTAAAATGTTGTCTTAGAATCTAATATATTTGTGAATCTTATAAAATGACAAATATTTATAGGAGCCATTAGATAAAAAATTGAAAGGGTAAAGATTTAGTAGTCACTTTTAAAGTTCAAGAATTTATTGGATACGAAATTGAAAGTTAAAAATACTAGTGGACACACAACTTTAAAAGCTCAAGAAGGACTAAGCTTGTTGTCATACGAAGTAAAATGGTCCAAACAAGAATGAGAATCCCGAGGAGGAGAAGGAAGGATGCCGAAACAACTACCAACCAGGGCCGGCCCAAAACCTAAGGGTCGGCCCACTCAACGCCTGGCCCGACCTCAGTACCGAGGCACCGAAGTGTTCTCGGCTACGGGTCGAGAACACCTCTCGAATTCTCTCTCGATCCCTGTCCCGGTCAACTTGTGTTCGTAGAACCTCGACCCAGTTCTGATGTTGGAGCCCGCAACAAAGCATCTTACTGCCTAAGAAGCCCGATGATGTGAATGACCTAGGGTTCAAATAATGAAACCCTAGGAGGGAGGAAAATCTATAAATAAAGAAATGGGTCACACCTAAAAGGTACGTTGAAACCCCATATTCTTCTCCTACTCTCCTCATTCGACTTTCCCAATACTAACTTAAGCATCGAAGCCCGCGTGGTCAAAGCTACACCGGTCCTACTACTATTCTGTTTTGCAGGTCAGTTAAACCCTTCCATACTTAGAAGATTGGTGCAAATTTGGTGAGATATTAGGGGAACAAATTCTTGCATCAACACTTGTGATCTAACCTAAAATATAAATCAAAATATAGATGAGCTTCAAATCAATTGTGTTTTTGAAATTATGTAGCGTTTTGAAAAAACACAAATTATATATTTCTTGAAATTTTGTGGCATTAAAAACGTTTAACTTTATATCATTGAAATCTATGTCATGAAATGAGAAGTTTAATGTTAAAGTTAAATCAATAAGTTTAGCTTTTATCAATATAGTTTTTTTTTAATGCGAAATATGAGTATAGTTAGATACTCCTCCCTAGAATGAGGTTAAAATCCTCACACATCTATCAAAAAAAAAATATTAAATAACTACCCACCTGTGTCGGTTTCGGGTACATGTACTCGTTTGGTGAAGGTCGGCGCAAGAACGCTCGATCAGTAAGCTATTACACACTCTTTTAAGGGTGGCTGCTTCTAGGCAAACCTCGCGGACTCTACACCCCTACTTGCATTTAACAATTTTAGAATCAAATCTTTTTTATTTATTATTTTTTTTTGGTTAAGAAAAAAGAATCAAATCTTCTTTTATACAAGTGATGGATGGTGCCTTTGAGATGACTTCTCAAGAAATGCTTTTTAAATAAAATTATTTTTTATACAAGCACCTTTTGATTAATTATTAATTTAAAGTGTATTTGGTAATTTTTCTAAGTGATTTAGATAATTAAAAGTGTGGTATTCAATAATAAATAAA